TGCGGGCGGCCGGGGCTGAGCGAGGCCCGCGCTGCGTTGTGGGGCAGCGGTTCTCGGGGAAGCCAAGGCTTCTTCAGAACCGGGAGACAAACTACGGCTCTTTTCTCAACCCTGGCTGGGAACAGAGGCCTAGCACTGTGCAGGGCTCGGGAGCAGGAGTTGCCAGTACCTTCGAAAGCCTTCTGTGCCCTGTCGGCATCATCCTGGTTCTTGTCCGGGTGCACCAGTATAGACAGCTGCGGAGAAGAGTCAGGCCGTCAGTGGGGACGCACGGTGACCCTGCTGCCCGCTAAGGGCCCGAGCGCCGAGGTGCTAAGGCAAAGGCTGTCTTAGCGTCGTTTCTGAAGCTGCCAGGAGGGGAGTGCGTGCACCAGAGCAAGGACGAGCACCCGCAGGGCGTGGCCGCGGTCCCATCAGGGTCGTGGGTGCAGACACGTGACCCCACTGTGTGTGTATCTGTGTGTGTGCGCGTGAGAATGTGATGGAACTTTTTGCCTTAGGGCACGTGTGCTGGCGGTGGGAAGAGACACACAGACACAGTGAGGGAAACTGAGGAATCACCCTGGGGGAACGGCCACGCCACAACCCCTTCTCCACCCTCCTCCGGGGATCTTGGGCACGCACAGAGTCCAGTGACGAACTGCAACACCACCTGCTAGTCCTGCCACGGTATTTTTAAGCTGCTGAGGCTGGTTTACGGAGCACTTTTTTTTTTTTTGAGAGAGAGATTTTCCATGTAGGGCGCGTGGGCTCGCCAGACAGACAGAGAGAGACATAGAGACAGAAAGCGAGAAATCATCCCCCAGAGGGGATGGTCACGCCGCAATCCCTTCTCCTCCATTCTCCTCTCGGGATCTTGGGCACGCACACACATGCGCCCGGCATGAGTTTTAAGCCACCGGGTCCGGGACACGAACCGCAGTCGACTACGTGGGAGTCCAGCGACATAGCCATTACGCTAACTGCTGGTTCCCTGGAGCACGTTTTAATTAGCAAACCCGAGGCCAGTCAGTGGCAGGGGGATCAAGGCAGCAATCCCACGTGGCCAACAGCACGTGCACGTCGTGGACCTGGCAGCTCGGCAGACAGGCAGGTGTGTGGCTGTGCATCCCGAAACCCCGAGAGAAGGGACTGTGCTGTGCCCACCCCTCCCGGAGGATGATTTTTCACTCCTGCAGTTCAAGTCCTTGACCTGGAGGCCTAAACTCACGCCACATGTGTGTGCATGCCTCCCCAGAGTCCTGAGGAGCGGAGGAGGGACTGGAGCGTGGCCGCCCCGGGGTGACCCCTGGCTCCCTGTCTCTCTGCGTCTTTATGGCAAGCACACGCACCCTACGGCCAAGGTCTCCCCTTAAAAAAACACAAAATTGTAATTCTATCCCATTTTCCCACGGCCTTTTTAAGTCCCCACAAGTGTCAGACAGAAGGTGAGAACTACATTTAGAACTGTTCAAGTCCTATTAAAATATCAAGTACCTAAAAGATCCAAAGGGGAAAGAAAACCCAAAGACGTTGTGGAAAGTTTTAAAGACATGAAATACACAAAAAACCTAATCTGTAAAGACAGATGACAAGGGCTGTGACTACCAACCGACTGAAGGAAAGGCCGGGGTTACTCAGCTGTCAAAACCAGAGAGATGGCTTAAAAGATTACCAAGGGGGGTCGGCAGGTGGCATGGTGGTTAAGGTGCTGGACTCTCACATGCCGCCTGTGGTTGAGTCCCGGACCTGGCAGCTTGCTTTCTCACTTTCCCTTCTCTCAGGCTCTCTCTCTCTGTTTTGGTAAAATTACAAAATAAATAATAACAACAAATAAAATTAAATAAAGAAATAATATTTTTAATAAAAAGGTTACCATAGGGGCCAGCAGATGGCGTAGTGGCTACACTGCTGGACTCCCATATGGCCAATTATGGTTCAAGTGCAGGACCTGGTGCTTTGAAACTCACATTGGGGGGAAGCAGCAGGTGGTGGTGGATAAAGGCGCTGAACTCCCACATGGCCGACCATGGTTCAAATCCTGGACC